AAAAATTGAACATTTTATAAATTTTTAACCAAAATAACGTTCGCGGTATATTGACTAATTTTGTAAAAATCTGTACATAAAATGCTTACAAAAAAAAATAATCGTACATAATGTATCTTCATTATTTAAAAATTGCTATTATAACAACTTATGAGGAACCTTGTATTAATTGTTTAAGCTTTTAGACCCGTCTCTAAATAGGTAAAAAAAAGTAGAAATATTTTGAACATTTCATCATGTAGGTACCTTTAGACAGTTGTAATATTTTATCATAATCATTTGGTGAAAAATTGAAGTATCTATTTATAGTTGATTTTTGAATTACAACAAAATATAAAAAATCGTTTGAGGAGAAATTATTAACTAACTGTTGAATATCCATCGTAAAAAATTAAATCAAATGTTTAAGCGAAATGATTCCAGTGTTGGGAATAGCTCACTAAAATAATATCTAGATAAAGATTTTTAAAATAAAATATCTTAAAATGTTATCCAGTAATAAATTAAAATATATTATAACACAAATATTGGTTAGGTTACAAGAACACAAGAGAATTACAAGGACAGTTACTAGTCGCGTTGACTCGTTTGTATTTTGTTTTGATAATCTGATCCTAAAATTTAAACTCTGAAGTATATCAATATTTATATTATAATGGATACTGTCTGTATAATAATAATAGAATTGGCATCGGGCATCAAGCGGTGGGATGTCAACCAACAACCACCAATAACCCACCACCGATAAATCATCCTACAAATTACAACAAATACATTTTATCACGACTTAAACTAGACGGTTATTTTTTTAATAATTTAAATATGTGTTCATTGCTTTTGTCAATTTAGATTTAATTTGAGAAAAAATATCAATTAATCTCAAATTATTATACTATTATACATTTTACTACATTTATAACGAATACTATTTAAATTTAAAGAAACATATAGTGTTTTATTTTTTTTGACATTGCTGACTAGCAGATAAAAAGATGCAAACACTATTTTCATCACAGCCAATTGAGAAGTCTTTGGGTAAATAACTATAGGAGGTTAAAGTATCATTGTTTTTAAGACTTCAAGCTACATTGTTATTAGCTAGTTTTTACTGTGGACAATATTCCACACCATTATTTTTAACTTGCAATTCACTATATGTCATGCGAGAAGCTCAAAAATAAATCATAAAATGAACTTCGTTTTTTTGACACTCCATTCGGTTTGTGTGGCGGCTACGGTTGGTACGCGTTTTTTATGTGAGGCAGATAGATCGTCGCAAAGAACCCTGGTGGTCAGTGGTCACCCATCTGGGAGCCTGCTCGACCTCTGCACACATTATATTAGTGACTGCGTCCAATCACCGCGATTCACCAGGTCACCATTCAATGAACTCTAATACCATCCACGTTGAATTGTATATTATTATTATTATATGTTTATATTATATTTACCAGTTTAAATTCTTGCAAATGTATTATATTTTATAACATTTGACATGTCAACAAATTGTATACAATATTACAATCATTAATATAGCAATAGTACTGAGTAGTAAAATACAGTAGTAGTATATACAGATTAGTGTAGATTTAATAATTTGTTGATCGTTGCCACATCGATAAAATCAAATATTAAAATTACTTGACCGTCATATTTAAAAGGTGATTTTGAAAGGCTTTAATATAGATACTTGTATATTTTAGAAAATTAAGGTTTCGGAAATATAGTTAAAATATATTAGACTAGGTACGTTATGTTATTTGGTATTAGCAAGACTTAAACAGTTAACCTAACTATTAATTAATCATAGAAATAATAAACTAGGTATAGGATCAATGGATCATAGTCAAATATAATTTTAATGTAAACATTCAAATTAATAATTATGTATATTCGTATAACGTATCTAGTATACAGAGTGTTACAGTATAAATGAAAAAAAAAGAAAATTAAATATGTCCATTTATGTTCAGTTATTACCTAATAATGAAATGTGTACCGGTTATTAGGTATTTTTTCAAAAATGATAAATTACAACTATAAGACCTCCTTTTCGATTTTTTTTTTAAATTGTGGTCGTTAAATAATTTTTTTTGCTGAATCAAAATCTTGAAAATTTACCCATATCAGAAGTTCAAAATGAATGAACATATAAAGATTAAAGGCATACATTTTTTCATAGGCATTTTAAATTCAAATTTTGACAAAATCCATCATAATCGCTCAAACATAATCAAATTATTTTGTATTTAAAAATGTATATAATGTTCAACTTTTATAGATAAGAACTAAAAGTTCAAAACAAGGTTAAAATATATTTTATAAATATAAGTTATACCTATCTATTTAACTATTGCAAATAATAGGTAACAACTAGGCAACAAAAAACAGCGGTAAAACAGAAATATTTACACAACACCAGTTTTGAATTAAATTTACCTCATATTTTTGTTGTAATTAAAATCATAATCAAATACTTAAAGTACCTACATAAATTTTTTATAGACCTGATATTATAATGTCTAAAATATTTTAAATTTTTTAGAGTCTGCATTGGTACCTATAAATAATTACCTTATTTTAAATAATTATTTATAAGTAATATTAACGCAGGTAAAACAGAAACTAACTGCAACTATAACTTAGCATAACTACGACATGCAGCCACATCTTAATTGGTTGACGAAATCACTTCACATGTGAAACTTAGTGTGCTAAGTACTGTGTTAGACTGTTGACAGCTATTTTAAGTCGAGGAAAAATAATTAAATTAATTGAAAACATTACTTTACTTTAAACACTATATATAAATACCAAAATTCAAAAAAGTTAAAGACTTATTGGATACAATTATTAAAACAATATTCACTGTCGAAATATTACAATATAAATAAACTAAATCTATTCGATTAAACATTCACACAGTGTATAATAATAATCGTTGTCAACAATAAACAATATACTAGTCACCCCAGCTTCCTATTATAATAATAATAATATTTGTAGCCAGCAGTTAACCTAACCTAACCTATTATTATATTACACATAATATTATATTTATTTTTTATGTACTAGCCACCACAGCATAATATTATCAATTTTTTGTACGACAGAGTTTTTTTTTTTTTTTATTGATCTTAAATTCATCGACATCTAGGTCATTATGCGTCATAATAATATAATAATAATTATAAATATAAATATATAACGTCACTGAAGTTATTGACAATAGTAGGTAGGTAATATTGGTAATAGGTATTGGGTATATCATGTGGAAAGGGCAGAAAATGAGTTACCTATTTCAGTCGTAGGCGACGCACAGTGGTCTGAAATCGAATTTTAGGCGAAAAAAAGTGAAAGAAAATTGTTTGCTCGTCATGCAGGGAGGTTATAATATGAATATAACTTATAAGATGTTGCCCACGATGTAAATAACCTAAAGTTTATGTTTTGTAAGAAACAAGAAAACAGAAAATTCACACCAATATAATTTCGAGACTTTAAGAATTTGTCTTTTTTTTATTATTATTCCCGCCTCCTGGTATTTTTTTATATTTTTGCAAATTATTTCTCTTATCAGATCTGCCCCAAGTTGCAACCACAGACTATGAAATAATATAATAATATAAGCTGTGGTATGAGTGATATGCCCCTATCTTTCTGGCGTTCTACGTTCTGGTCTTTCTATTTTCAGGTAAAATATTTTATGCAACATTTTTTTATGGATCATAGCGTTCTGTAAAATTGTGTTCTATTATATTCCATTCTGGAATTATACACCCAGCGGAATGAATATGCGAAGTGTTTGAGCTTTCGCAATAAGCTAAATAAAATTTGATTTTTATATTATTATATTATTATTATCATCTCTATTTTAGACCTATATACAAAATAATAATATTATGTGGACCATACACCTACACATTATATTATTAATTTTTATTATATATTATACGGACTAGATTCAACTAAAAATTGAATTGGACTTTTTTATGCATACAAAAACATTACATTCGCCCTCTCCATTGACCCATAAATCCCCTTATTTGTTTCTTTGGTACTACCCCCACATTGCATTTAAATATATTATTATTACTCATGACCTCCTCCCTCCATTGGAATTTCCTGGGCACACCACTGTTGTTTTAATTGTTTTTTTTGTGGAGTGAGGAGGTACTAGGTACCTAAAATACTGAATAGATTGTATGAATAAGCCCTCCTTGAGATTACCTAGCCGTAAGCACAAATCTACACAATATATCATATCAATACCTTAAACAGTTATACCTCAGCAGCTTATAACTTATAAGTTTAAAGTGTAAGGTTTATGCATAAATAAAAAATGCAATTCAAATGTTTTTCCACGCAATTATTTTCTAAATATTCTTTACTCCAAGACCATTATGTGCCAATGAATATTTGTTCCAAATGTTTTGTATAATAAATCCTGTGGAACAAATAAATTATGTAACAAACGTTCATCGGAACAATTAATGTAAATGTGAAAAGATATAATTGGATGAAATTTATATGGAAAAAATGTTCATTGGAACAAATGTCTTTCGACAAATAGGTATTGGAACAAATGTATATAGGAACAAAAGTAAAATTTGGAAGTTAATATCATTGGAATAAGTTGACTTGGAACAAAAAATTGTGGAACAAAAGGTAGTGATCCCAAAATATCTCAATTCGTGGTCAATGCCGAAAACAAGAATTTACAGAGTCCTTGACATCTAATCGTTAAAAAACATAATAACCATGTTGTTTACAATCACGGTTGTATCATATAACAGGATATATATATATATATCCACAACCGTGTTTATAATATCGTGGTATCATCACTATCATCACAGAAGTCATAACTCATAAGTCATAATATGATTCTGAATTCTGATATAAAATAATATCTGTATTCTTTTTATACTTCATACTTTATAACTGTGGACTTTTTTAATTACTTTTAGTAGCAGCAGGCCCCAATTCTAAATTTAAAAATGGAGAAACCACAAAAAATTCCAAAAGTCGCCAAGGTACGTACCATAATGCTCATGAAAAATCGTTTGAAATAATTAATGGAAGTACTTATTGTGATTACTTATTATTCATATATGTACTTTAGGTGAAAAATAAAGCACCCGCGGAGATTCAAATCACTGCTGAGCAACTGTTAAGAGAAGCGAAGGAGCGTGATCTTGAAATTGTACCACCCGTAAGTACTTAGATTTTTGAAATTTACTTTTATTGTTAGTCTTGATTAACACATCCGTGACATTAATTTGCAAATCTTTTGAAATATTAGCCTCCCAAACAAAAAATCTCTGATCCAATAGAATTAAGAGATTATCAACATAGAAAACGACGTGCTTTTGAGGATAATATTCGAAGAAATCGTACAAATATAAGTAATTGGATAAAATACGCTGCTTGGGAAGAGAGTCAGAAAGAAATCCAAAGGTAAATCGTATCAAACTTATTCAGTTGTATATTATGTTAATATATTTAAAATAAAATTAATTGAAGTACTTATTATTATTATCCATGTACTTATTAATTTTATGTGGTAGCTGAACCCACACTTGTTGTCTCATGACTCAATGTTACAAATTAATATTAAATCTTGTCCTTCTAATATTAAATTATCATCACAAATTTGTTACTACTGAACCCAAATTTGCTATGTTATATTATGTATGTCATATGGAGACTATATATGAGAGTTAGGTGTCATCTCAATCTTTCTATTTTTTTTTATAATTTAAAAATTTTGTAACCCAAAAAAGTTTTTACTAACCTAACCTAACCTAACCTTTGTCAATCATTATTTATCTTACCTATTAGAATTGTATTGAAAGTATGTGCATTATGTAAGTTTTGCTTAATCTTAATTTTGACAATTTTTTATAATTTGGTTAATGGTTGTTAATAATTTTGATTATCATAATGAGTGTATTTATTTTAAGGGCACGATCAATCTACGAAAGAGCATTAGACACAGACCACCGAAATATAACACTATGGCTAAAATACGCCGAACTAGAAATGAGACATCGACAAGTGATGCATGCCAGAAATCTTTGGGATCGTGCTGTTGTCATCATGCCTCGTGCAAATCAATTTTGGTACAAATACACATATATGGAAGAGATGTTGGGAAATGTTGCAGGTAAAATTAAAATTAAATCATTTATTTTACTCATTTTTGCTATGTTATTTTATACACTAAAAATAATTTTTTAGGAGCTAGAGCAGTATTTGAACGATGGATGGAATGGGAACCTCCAGAACAAGCTTGGTTGACTTATATAAAATTTGAATTGCGTTACCATGAAGTGGATCGTGCAAGGAAAATCTATAGTAATTTTGTTATGGTACATCCAGATGTCACAAACTGGATAAGATATGCTAGGTAAATTATGTTCATATTTAAAAATTAAAAGTTTTTAATTACTATTTTATGTTTAGATTTGAAGAACAAAATGGCTTTATTGCCGGAGGAAGAAGTGTATTTGAAAAAGCAGTTGAATTTTTTGGTGATGATCATATCAGTGAAAATTTGTTTATTGCATTTGCAAGATTTGAAGAACGACAAAAAGAAGTATTAAAATTAATTAGCACTATTTTTTATTTTTTCATTTACTAGAAAATACACAATCTGTGATAATATTTTGTTAGAGTATATTATGATATTTCTTATTTTAACACTACTTAATTAACATGCATAATGTTTGATTTCATTTAAGCATGAACGTGTAAGAGTAATTTATAAATATGCTTTGGATCATGTTCCTAAAGACAGATGTCATGATATTTATAAAGCATACACAATACATGAAAAAAAATTTGGTGATCGGACTGCAATTGAAAGTGTCATTAGTAGTAAAAGAAAACTACAATATGAACAAGTATTTAATAGTTTTAAATTACATTAAAACAACATTCTAACTATGTGACTTTCAGGAAGTAAAAGGTAATCCTACAAATTACGATGCTTGGTTTGATTATTTGAAATTAGTAGAGAGTGAAGGAAATTTAGAAGTCATTCGAGATACATATGAACGAGCAGTTGCCAATATACCCCCTTCCAATGTAAGTTTCTTTTATTAATGAAAGATGAATGTTAATTAATTTTGTTTATAATTTACTTGTTGGATATATTTATTTCATTTTCAATATGTTAAATTATTGGATTATAGATATTCCTTTTTAATTAAATATAATTATTTTTACCATAGGAAAAACATGCATGGCGTCGATATGTTTATTTATGGATAAATTATGCTTTGTTTGAAGAGCTAGAAGCTGAAGATGAAGAGCGTACACGTGATGTTTATCAGACATTTATTTCTACTATACCTCATAAAATATTTACATTTTCAAAAGCTTGGCTATATTATGCTCAATTTGAAATACGTCATAAAAATTTAACTGCCGCAAGAAAGCGAATGGTAATCTTTAGTGGATTCAAATAAATTCAATAATACTATGATTAATTTACTTTACAGGGTGTTGCATTAGGTTTATGTCCCAGAGATAAACTGTTTAGAGGCTATATTGATTTAGAAATACAACTTAGAGAATTTGAAAGATGCCGTATACTATATGAAAAGTATTTAGAATTTGGATCTGAAAATTGTGTCACTTGGATTCGAGTAAGTATTGACTATAAATGAAGCAGTCCTACAATTTTCAAGTTTTTGTAAATTAAAATGAATATAAATTTTAGTTTGCAGAATTAGAAACAGTATTGGGTGATATAGATCGTGCTAGAGCTATTTATGAATTAGCTGTAAACCAACAACGATTAGATATGCCAGAAGTTCTATGGAAATCGTTCATCGATTTTGAGACTTTACAAGGGGAAACAGAAAAAGCTAGAAAGTTATATGAAAGACTTCTCGAAAGAACCAATCATTTCAAAGTAATATTCTACCACATTTATTATTACTATTTGTTATTAAATGTAATTAGTAAACTAATAAAAATAAAAACCTACTTTTACATGGCAGGTGTGGATGAGTTATGCACAATTTGAAGCTACTTCAGAAGAGGAAGGTATCGATAGTGTATCAGTAGCAAGAAGAGTATTTGAAAGAGGTAATGAAGCACTACGAAGAGGTGGTACACCTGAAGAAAGAGAAGGAATTTTACAAGCATGGTTTAAATTTGAAGAAGAAAACGGAGATGAAGATAGTAAAACTAAAGTTAAAAATATGTTGCCCAAGAGGATTAAAAAACGAGTGCCTTATACTTCCGAAAGTGGAGTAAGAAAACTTTTGATTAAAATTTAAAACAATTTTACAATGTTATAATATTTACTTATTTGATATTTTGTATAATTTATTTTAGAGGGACAAAGGATGGGAAGAAAAAATAGACTATATTTTCCCAGAGGATGATGCTGCGAGACCAAACCTTAAGCTTCTAGAAACTGCTAAAGCTTGGAAGAAAAGGAAATTAGAAGAAATGTAAATAAATAAGCAATTAATGTATGATCATTCTATTATTTAATATGAATTACTTACCACAATGGTTTTTAGTAATAAATCCTATTGTATTCATTTTAAGTTCTATGTATAAATTTCAATATTTTAATCCCTAATCTATTCTTGACTCTAGTAGTAAGTTTAGTGGTCCATACACGGAACGATCTGTTGCCAAACTCTTTGTCTTACCAATCGTGTAGTTTTGATTCCCACACATGCAAAAATCGCTCGATTTGGTTTGCCATAACTTTCGACCGACGATTCGACGGCAGACTGACAGACACATTCATACACATGACGATTTGGTTTGTCGCTGTTTGAAAACAAGTTGGACGACAGATTGTTTCGTGTGTGGGAGTATGGGACACTTAACTGCGTATACTACACATAAGTCTCAATATGAGGATAAGATATATCATATTGTTTTAGTATCCAAATTGACTTCAGATTAGGGAACAAATACAATAGAATATAGGGGATTATGACTAATACTATAATATAGTTCTGATGCAACAATATCATTATTTCTATCTGATATCAAAATGTTAGAATTAAGATTTTCTATTTATGTTTTTGACAAATTTATAAATTTAACAATTTAATGTATTTCATCAAAATTCTAACATTAAACGCTTACAAAAAAATATTGTCACTATCCACAAATTCGCTAAACTAGACCGGTTTAAAATTATCCCGCATTATCCTGCACCAGGATAATGAACCATGTAAACAATATGGTCCAAACTTCCCGGTACATTATTTTTCACACCGGTTTATCTAGCGAATTTGTAGTATGTGTTTTTGATATTTTTAAATGGTATATGGACAACTTATGTATGCCTCAATGTATTAGATTTAAATTTTTGACCAAATGAAAATATTTTTTTTCGATACTTAAATGAAAAATAAATAATTAAATGTCAAATACTAATAAATGGCTTAAAACGCAACAAAATATTTTGAAAATGTTATCATGTACAGAAAAAATGCTAACATACAATTTTTAAATATAGTTGTGTACTCAAAACATTACTCCATCCCCCTTCCTGTACAATATAAATTCATCACGCTATGTCTATGCGAGCCATACAATCTAAAGATAATACTACTTTTTGTCACGCCTCTACAGATATTGCAATATGTCACAAGTACCTACTCCATAACGACCTAGTCTTGTAGCCATTCTCAGTATCTAAAATTGGCTTAACTGTTTCGTAGAACAGCAGGAGACATTGGGAGTAATCCACCATCTAGTATTTTATATATTGGACAAAAGGCATCAATACATTCAGAATATTATATTATGTTAATCTGTTTTGGATAGTAATTGTTTGTCTACCTGGAAAAGCATTTGCTCTCCGCTGGATTATAAAAGGCATTTTCCAACGCTTTAACTGGAAACAAACTTTCTGTTAGTCGACTGGCGTGACAAAATATATATTTTTTACTACATTTATAAAATAAAAATGAATATAATATTTTATACTACTTTAAATTAATATAATAGAAGACAGGTTTTCTAGTAATATATTATAAAACATTTAACGATTTATTTCAAAATACAAAATTATTTTTGTTTTGTTACAAATCAATGTCAAGTAAACCATCACGAGTAAGTAACAATGTTCATATTTTAATCACAGTCATCTAATCTTACTGGATGTTCTAGTGGAACAATTGATTTTTTCTCAACATCTCTAGAAAGTGCTTTTCTCATATCTGAAAATATATAGTATTTTTAATATTTTTGTGTTTTATAAAATCCTACAGTAAATACTAAATAATAATAATATGTACCATAAGCATCTTCGTCGGGATCGCCCGAATAATATTCTAATACGGTACGATACACTGTATACCCTAAACTCTTGTACATTGATATGGCAACTGTATTGCTGACACGCACATATAGATCAACAAACCATGCATCTTTTCTGAAAATTATTAGAACATTAGAAAATGTAAAGAAAATGTTTAACAAAAATTTACTTTTCCGAAATTTCTTCTAACCAATTCATTAAAACTCCTGCAACACCTAATCTTCTGTATTCCGGAGCAACAGTTAATGCAGTTACGTGACCATGCCAACTATCTGGCTGTCCTTCAGATTTACCCATAACTAAATACAATTTACAGTTTAATGTTATAAATATCAACTAAAATTAATTTTATCAAAAAGTTTTTAAAAAATCATTACAGATTGCACATTTGTTTTTGTAACAAAACAAAAATGATTTAATTATTTTGAAATTCAATATTTTTATAAATAATTACATAATAGATTATGTATATATTATAACATTTGCATATGAAACAACAGTGCGTGGGTTATTGAACTGAGTAAAAAACTTACTATAGCCCATAATTTCTCCAGTAGGAGATTCGGCAACTTGAAAATACTCCGGCCAGTGTGCAAGATATTGCATATAAAATGGTATCGCATACTGTATAATGTGAAGTTAAGTTTAAATTTAAAGTATTAATAATAATCTAATTTCCACAACTAACAATATAATATTGGATTTAAAAGTTTTTAATTCCAATTAATACGACAAAAAATAAATACATACATAAAGGTAGTCAAAATATTCAAATGTAAACTAACACTATCTGTAAATATGCTTATTAAAATTAATTCTATGCGGAGTGTTAAAATAAAACATGATAATACTGAGATTTAGCTAATTATTATCATATAGTACCTACAGTACTTCTATAAATTATAATAGTACCTAAACTCTAATAATTTGTATATAAATTGTATATTTAAAAAAGGATACAGTCTCTGTAAGCGTATCTAGATTTCTGAAATAACAACGTACATTAAAAAATTAATTCAATAATTAAGAACTAAAATTATTAATAAATAAATTAGTATTAGTTATTTAATATATTAAAACTAAATTTGTCACATAATACCTACTTTTCAACTGAATATTTAGTTTCTAGAAGAAATATGAGGTAATTAGGTTATGCATAGTTAATATAACAGTAAAAAGCGATAAATTAAAATAGACAAAGTGTGAAGCACTTATTTTAATTAACTTCAGTAGAAAAATTTTAACAAATAAATATTACATTTTTGAATGAAATTATTAAAATTGCATTGTTATTATGGCAATACTATTTAAATGCAAACAACAGATAATATGTTAGGTAGGTTAGGTACCTATGTATTATCAAGAGTGAAAATATTAATTTCAAAGGATTTATACAAGCAATATTACCTAGCATTAAAAAAAAATTGGTTTTTCTGCCAGTTTAACATGCGTACAATTAACATTAATTGATAGGATTTAAATCAGGGCTTGAAACTATTTCAATTTTCTATCGGTTTTTTTGAATTTTTAGATTTTGGTTAGGTTTTAAGAAAGGTTTTTTACATTCTTAGGTTTTAGTTCTTGTTTTTTAATTACTTTACGTAATACTTAAAATTGGAATTTTTGTTAAATAAATTTAAACAAAATATTCTCTTTGTATAAAAATACTAATTTTATCAAGAATTGAAAATATTGTAATTAATTTATAAATATGGTAGAAATTGATATTAGTTTAAATCGTTTCTAGTTTGCAAACAGTTTTATACAATTTTCTGGTTAAGATTTTGTTAACGGTTACTTAAATTTTAAGATTTCCATCATAATTTTTTAGCACTGATATGTTATTTTGGGTAAATTTAAGATGTTAAAAAATGAAAAAATCTGGTTTCTAACTCCTTTCAGAAAACCGGTTTCAGACTATCATTGAAAGCGAAAACATTAAATTAAGTACCTACTTGTTATGACAATTATTATTATGTAAATAAACATAGTAAAATAATTGAGAATTGTAAATTGAAATATACCATTAGGTCCTTGTTCAGGAATGTTTTAAAAACTTACACGTTATTGAATTTGAATAAATCATCACAATTGAATGGTCTTAATGTTGTCATTGTGTTGTCAATTTTGACTATTTAATGTTTAAAAACTGAAAAATAACACAATGAGTTGAGTTAACTATACATTTATCAGTAAACCGTAATGCAGTAAGTAAGGAACATTATAACAAAAATAATTACAAAATATATTATGAATCCATTAAAAAAATAGACAATTAATATTTATCATTTTATCAAATAAATTAAATTTTATTTTTAACTGCGATAACGCTTATCATAAACTGTATGTCTAAACTTTGGACTGTGGTTTATAACGAACCATAATTCTTTTAAACCTTGGTTCAAAACAAGATTTCTCACCAAAAACCAGGTTTATCTTCATCAGTGTTATCTACATTGGGCATGATTATACTATCTTAAACCGTGCTCCGAGATGACTATGAAAGTGTTCAAACCACGGACTAAGATATACCGGACGCATATAATGTTCCAGAAAAAAAACGGCCAGAATGTAGATTTGTCGAATGTTTATTTACAGAAAATAATATTACAGAATTGAAAAAAACCAGAATATAAAAAGCCCAGAAAATATTTGAACAGAAAATAATATGAACGAAAATAAATACTACAGAATGTAAACTGATAAGAATATATATCAGTAGAATGTAAACATACAGAAAATAATATTGCAGAAATTCTGCTGAGTGTATTATTCCAGAATGGAATATAACAGAACACAAATTTACAGAACGTTATGATGCATAACAAATGTTTGCATAAAATATTTTCCAAGGAAATATTTTAACTGAAAATTATATATTAGAAAATATATTTCCAGAAGTATACCTATTAACATATTTTAGTTGTTAATTAAAATGCGTGGGTACAAAATATAATTTTTTTACGTATTTCTGTTTTTAAATTAATGTCAGCTGCTTATATAGTTATAGTAACTAGTACACAGATACTAAAAAATAATTATTCTAAAAAAAAAAAACAATTAAGGGAAAAAATATCAACGATAAAATAAGAAAAAAGTTATTCTAAAAAACTACAGTTATAATTATATTTTGTGTGTAATATAATTGTATATAGGTACCTAACCAGGCTAACCATTTTTTATACCATTCATAATTATATTTATCAACTCATACCTAATTATAATTTAATATTTATTATTTTGAGGTATCTACTAATTTATTACTAGTGTTAATATAATATTTTACATTTTTGAAAGACAAAAAACATGTTACAATTAAAGTACTAAACCATTCATAATTAATAATAATAACAACTTCTGAAAAACTCCGCCAACACAAAAATCTAATAAACATTAAATCAAAATATTGTCAATGGAATAATAATTATAAGTTCCAACAGTCATTTTTTTCAATGTAAAATAGTTAAAGACATGCTCATTCTTTTAAAAACTAAACATAATATTTAAAAATAAAAATAATAAGTAGTCATCATAGTCGATGCTTAAGAATAAGTAGGTATTGTTTAAGCTCAGGCACGTAGCCAGAAAATGTCTACTAGATAGGCCAATAATGTTTGGCCCTTTTATTATTATTCATAATTTGTCTTTATGAAATTCTTGTAGGGGGTATGCAATACAAAGAATCTTGTTAATTTAAATAATTTACCTTTAGTTGGTACTTAATTGGTTAAAATTTTTTTTTTTTTCACAACAAGTTATACCTATTACTTACCTATTTAAGAATTAAAAAAATAGAAAGTAGGTACCTACCTACCTGATAATAAAAAAAATAAATATAGAATTACCTTCATCTTCACTTATGGGATACATTTTTCATGCTATGAAAAATAAATCTACATACATATTTAAAATAATAAGCTGCTTCAATTGTTCAACTTCTATTAACAAAAATTAATTTATATTTGAATACTTATCAAAAATAATAGGGATAAATCAATAAATGATCATTGGTTTTTAAATTAATATAATTTTTAAAGAAACTCAAATTTATTTTTAAAAAAAACACATACTAGTAGAAAAAATTAATAATACACTTATACTTATATAAATATTGAAGCTAGTCTATTATTGTTTATAAAACAGGTATCAAGACCCTATTATATTATATTTTTTTTAGAGAAAGTTATCCACGGTTCCGCGAATATAAAAATTAAGTTATTACAATAATAATTGTATTACCTAGTAGTAATCACAGTAGATTTTTCTCAATGTGCATAATCACATTTTTGATAATTGGTAAAAATAGTTATATTTTGAATTTGGGGGGCCCTGGGCCAGAGTATATTTAGGGTGGGCCCGGCCCATCCAGGCCCCCCTGGTTACGTGCCTGCTTAAGCTATACTTACAACTCAAATTAGATTCATAAACTTTGGCTAAAGTCCTAAAGAAAAGAAAAAAATCTTAAGAATTGCTTTTTATTTATTCTATTTAATATAAATAATTTGTTTTTTTTTCACTATCATTAAGAACTTTAGCGTAAACTATTATAAAAGAAAAATAGTAATAGTTAATTTTTATTTTTTTTAATATACTTTTTATATTATTATAGGTATGTTTTTAAATTATATTCATTGATATACTTATATCATTAATATTCAATCATGTACATTACTTAAGTAGGTGATAGACAATAGTAATAAATATCAACAATAAACTCTGGAATTTTTGTTTAATGAATTATAAAATAGAGTTAGAATAAATATATAAAACCAAAAAATTTCACTCATCAGCCAAACTTAATTTTGTATTCTTAATTCTAACCAATATTAAAAAAAATACATAGTAGGTACATACCAACAAAATAAAGGTTTATATTGATTAATGTTTTTCAATAAAAAAAGTGTTTCCAGATTTTCTAAATTGTCTATCCATTTAACATATTTTTTGATTTCTGTTATTAATGCCTGTTTAGGAGTCCAAATAACCAAATAACATAATTGACAATTTTAGATTCTGAGTGAAACGATGAATGTATTGATTTTACAATGATGTGTGTTTTTTTTTTTATTTTTTTTTTTATTTTTTTTTTTATTTTTGTGTCTGTCATCACGTTTTAGGACAGTAAAAGTGCTTGGATTTTCTTCATCAGTAGCTTTTCTGATAGGAAAAAGAATCTAGTTGGTACTTTGGGGGGTCAAAAGTATAAATTTCCCAGTAGTTTTCACAAGCGCCGGGAAAAACAACATAAAAATTAAGGAAAAACGGGAATTTTTACGCAAAATTGGTTTTCCAAAAAATCGATTTTGGTTTTTGGTGTAACTCTAAAACAAATGAACGTATATACATGAAATTTTCACTGGTTGTTTATATTTGCATTTTCTATACACGATAACATTTTCAAAATATTTTGATTTATTTTGAACTGTTTAGGGACATTTTCATTTTTCATTTTTTTTTAGTTTTTTTTCTAGAAATATCAATAAAATTTTATTTGTTGGTTGCGAAAGCTTGAAAATTTAATAGAAGGCTCCTAATATGTTGTTTCAAAGGCAGATGAAAAATATTAAAAATCCTTAGTCACAATTTTTTTTATAAGCACTTAAAGTTCAAAAATTGACAAAATATGGAAAAATCACGAAAATTAGCAAATTATTTTGAGTTAAGAATTCGTAAAAATTTTTCTTTTTAAATCTAAGATTTGAAAATTTAACACAAGATTCCTTATAAGATTATCTACCTTTATCAAAAAAAAAATGTCTATAAGAAAGTCAAATTAAATTTTTATGAGCGTTTGAAATTCAAATTTTTACAACATTGAATATTCACTCGATTTCCCATGTAGCGATTTCCTTAGTTTGTTGTAATTCAAAAACAAATAACTGTAGATACATGAAAATTTCACTGAATGTTTAAATTAGCATTTTCTATACACCATACAATTTTGAAAATATTTTGACTCTTTTTGAGCTGTTTATGGACATTTACAGCTTTCAATTTTTTTTAGTTTTTTTTCTATAAATATCAATAAAGTTTTATCTGTTGGGCCAAAAAGTGTAAAAATTTAATACAAGGCTCCTGATATACTGTTACAATAGCAGTTGAAAAATATTAAAAATACATAGGCACAGTTTTTTTTTATAAGCATTTAAAGATCAAATTTTGACAAAATTTTTCAAAATCTCGAAAATTATCAATCATTGAAATTAATAAATTATAAAATGTTCAGTTTTTATAGCTAAGGATTGCAAATTTAAAACAAAGGTTCTCATAAATAGTTCATACTGTAACCAAAAAATCTAAAAAATATATGAACACAGTTATTTTTTACAGACATTTTAAATTCAAATTTGGACGAAATTACATATTAAAAAACCTAGAATAACTATTTTAGTTATTTTGTTGTTATTGAATAATATTATTCGTGGGTACTTGAAACTTCTAAAGTGTACTATTATATATCTATGATAGTATCACGGTTTTGTTGATGTATAACGCGTTATAAGTACCTAATGGACATTGTGATATGATTGATTTGGAATTTATTATAGGTACCTATTATAGGTCAATTTTTTGTTTAATACCATAGATATGTATATAATATGTCTTAAACATAGACTGACATACCGTCTCCGCTCAGAATCGTTTTTCTTATACAATGATATTATATCGTTGAATTCAAATTTAATATCATCCATTATACAGTGACCCACTTGTAACCTACTGTACAGCAGAGCGACACCCACTTGCCCACCTTTTTATAGTTGGTTTTGAATCTGGTCCCAATATGAATGTGTTTTATTTACAAATAATTAATTATTTTCCTCATATAAAATATAATCATGATTTTTTGTAATTTCAACTTCAAGAACTGCATTCCTATACTTCCACGAACATTTAACTTCTAGAATATGACTTAAATTAACAAGTCCATCTGGTGTAGCACGCCACTAGCACCTTACAATCCACTATTTTATAACAACAGCCCAGTTGGTATTACATTTACATTTTGGTATTTTACTGGGGTCTTAATACCACAAACATCATTGGTATTACCCCATTGTACAGCATGCACACCTGTAATGTTATTATTATTTAATATTTTCCATTGTTTAAATAATGACTTTGGGAACTTATTTCTTTTACAAGCAGCTATCACTTTTCCAAAATTACTAGCTGTCAATCTATGTTGCCTATAATCACTATAATGAAACCATAAAAGATTTTTTTTGCCGTCCTGTAGTGTCTTTAACCAACTGTAATATAGTACTGTCCAAGGTGGATTGATCAATCCACCTTGGTACTGTCATTAATATGGAGTTTAGTGTATAACAACTTTTTAAGAGAAATAAAAATATAAAATATTTTAACTAAACTTCTAATTTCTGGATCAAGAACCATATTACAAATAGTCTCAACTAATATCACATTATTTTCAAATGGTTCTGTTTCAGGTTGTAACAACCAAGGAAAACCTACAGGTTCTGCTAAATAGTAAATTAGATGATTCCTCCTTAAAAATATTTATATCTGTTTCTGAAACAATGGCGTTTGGAAAATCATTACTATCCATGTATTTGATTAATGATTTTAATTTCTGTAGACAAATTATTTTTTCTAACACTCAACAAACAAGGTTTATCAGTTGAACTTAGATTATAATGAGTCTCTAGAAGGCAAGAGCATCTAGAATATTTTGTAATACAATCATCATTCATTAAAATTTCAACCTTATATGGACTACCCATACTAGGTTTCCCTAGACTTTCCCTACAATTATACCTAGATTAGGATCCATTTGAAGTTTAAGTACAAATTCTGAATGTTCCATATTATTATCTAGTTTATAACAGTTGCTAGTTCCAAATAATAAACAGTAGGTACCTAAATAAGCAATAATACTATATGCAAACTAAATATCTAAATTGAACTAAGTTATTGAACAGTTATTTAATTCGAATTCAGCTATGTTGTATACGCTTATTGTAAGTTGTAGTAGTCACTGGTCCGAAGTAGGCAAGTAGCGCAAGTGGCAAGTGCAGTACGAGTACCTACTACCTAGTGACTAGTGAGTACTTTATAATAACACTTTCGTTGACTCGTCATCTTCTATCCCCGACAGAGCGCCTTAATCTTTATCTGCAGCCCTCTCAAATAATTTCACGGTATTAGACATTAGTGTGATTAGTTCAAAAATTATAACGAATCAACCTATTATGAAACTTATCGTAAGATTTTAAGAACATTATCTGTGTTCGTTATTTCGTAATATCGTGTTAACGATAATCCAATTTTTGGAAAGGTTTGCGAATCAGGCCCATGCGCAGTATTTCAGAATGGGGGGCAAATAGTATTATAATATATTTATATTTATTATTATTTTGTAAGTACCTATAACCTATATATTAAAAGTGTTTCTTAACAACACTATAAAATACAAATCATTTTTTTAATAAATTTACATGACGAGGGACAGATCGTTGTGTATGATTATAAATAGGGCTAGGATTTATTTGCAATAAAAAATTATTAAATATGCATTTGGTTTATTAAAAATATGCAAAAATATGCAATAAAAATATGCTTAAATAAACCAAATAAATATTATTTAAAAAACACATTTTCTATAAATTTTTTTTAAATACCACCCACAAAAAGGGCGGGTAAGTGGATGTCGCTCTGCTGTACAGTAGGTTACAAGTGAGTCACTGTAATGGATTGTGTTAAATTTGAATCCAATAATATAATATCATTGTATAAGAAAAACGATTCTGAGCGAAGACGGTCAGTCAGTTGTCAGTCTATAATATCTTACTAAGTGTAATATATGATGATATAATTGAGAATATAGTAATTAATTTTAGTATTAGGCAGTGGCGTAACTTCAAAATTTGGGCCCGGGAGCGAAATTTTCAACGGGCCCCCCCATCGTCCAGGTACCTATATATATTAAGAAGATCCGAGGGAGTGTATTCACCTTACTAAAATAATTAAAAAAATTTTTTTTAAATAATAGATATTAATTTAATACTTCATATTATATACATACAAAAAAATTAGTAAACAGTTATAGCAGTTGTAATAAATAACAATTAACTCAAAACTTAAAACATTCTTCTGGACTTCTTATTTGCCAAAGTAGAAATAATATCTGATGTATTAATTTCTTTCGCAATTTTCTTTTCTATTGATATTATTGCCAAACTTGACAGACGAATTTGAGACATCGTACTTCGAAGATAGTTTTTAATTATTTTGAGTTTAGAAAAACTTCTTTCTGCGGTGGCCACCGTCACTGGTATTGTCAAAAAAAGAAAACAAGCTGTACATAAATCTGGAAAACTTGCTGCTATTAAATAATTGTCTACAATTATAAATTTTGCCAAGTCATGTACAGAATTTAATTTTGAAATTTGATTTTCAAACGAACGTTTAAATTGAATAATTTGGTTGACCAAATCTATTGTTAAATCATGTTCATAATTGTTTACCAAAGAGGTAGTTAAATGTTTAAGTTCATTTTCATTCATTGAACATATATTAATTGGTAATATTGAAGAAAAAAGTTTTATTACTTGGTTCATACCATTAAAACGGTGTTCGAGTTGTTTGATAATTATGTCCAGAGTACGATAATAAATTTGTGTTTTAAAATATTGTTCAGCATCATGGAGACGTTCATCGTTACTTAATTCATCAAAAAATTTAGTTGTTTTTGTTTTTCTTATTTTAGTGAACGTTGGCTCAACTCCCCACGAAATTGCTATTTGTTTAGCTTCCTCAAACACTTCTTCAAATTTATTACGCATTTCTTTTATTTTATTTAAGGCTGTTTGAAGCAGTTCAAAAGCTTTAAGTAAGTCTATATCCGATTTTTGTAGCAATAGTGATACAATTTGTAATGAGTTGAGAATTTTGGATTCGATGACAATTATTAAAATTACATCAAACTTTTGAAAATAGTTTTGAAGACCTGAGGCTTTACTTTTTTCATCTTTATTTCTACCCATAAGTGAAATATATGCTAAAAGTTTTAAAATATCTACGTAAAGCAAACTAAGCGCTTTTAAACAATCATTTCGTGAAGACCATCGAGTAGTACATAGTCTTTTGAGTGAAACAGACACAGAACTCACTGATTTTAAGTGTGCCCACCTTTTAATACTATTTGCAAAATATGAATAAAGGCATTCAAGTTTTTCATAAAAATTTTGAATTTCAGTAATATTTTTAACCGAGTCATTAATTACAAGATTTAAATTGTGAGCGGCGCAATGCACGTATAATGCAAGTGGCTGAGTGTGTTTGATACGTGCTTGTAATCCACTATAAACACCACTCATGTTAGCAGCTCCATCAAATCCAATCCCTCTTAACTTTTTAATATCAATTTTATTTTTTTCAAAATTATTGTATAGTTGCTGTTCCATTTCACTACTCGTTTGGCCCTCCATAATTTCAAATCCAATGAAACTTTCATGTATAACTATGTCAACTGGTTTATTTTCTTTATCATACATCACATTTACATAACGAAATATATGGCTTTGTTGATCAATTTTGGATATGTCTTGTGTTGAGTCAGAAATATAGCTGAAAAATGGAGCTTTTCTTATTTCTAGTAAAATATCATATTTAACTTTATCTCCTAGTGCTGTAATTATTTCATTCTGAATTGCCGGACTTAAATATTTTATGGTTCCTTTAGGTCTTTGGAGTAATTCTGTAAGTACCGGGTCGTATTTACCTAACAATTCGATTATCGCTAAAAATTTACCTTTGCTTTCTGTCTCATTATTTTCTCGGTGGCCACGAAATGGAATATCTTCAGTTGCGAGTGTTAACGTTGTAGCTATAATTCTATCCAATACCAGTTTCCAATAATTTGCTTCATCTCTGATTTGCTTTTCTTGATTTTCGTTTACTGTGTTATGATTTTGAAATGAATAAAAAGCCATGCATGCCATTTTATGAGGTATAGATTTTTCATGTCTTTCAATTCCTCGTGATGTATGGGCCCAATCGTTAAATCCTCGTATCCATTCTTGGTGCTTAATATTATTGTCTCCAAAAAGCCAACAAGGTTGACAGTAACATTTATGGAGCTCCGGTGAATAACAAAGCCACGATCGTGAAATACGCAGTCCAGCTTTTGATACGGTGTAATAAAATGATTCGTCAAAACATCGTCCAACCGCATTACGACTGAAAGGACCACTTGGTCTACAAGGACCATGTTCAACAATAAATTGTTTATCTTCTACACTCAGATGTCTCAGAACTGAATTTTGTATATAATTAGCTATATCAGTAGGATACTGTTTTGTGCAAATGATCGTCATATTTTTACTTAACAATATATCACAATCATCAGTATTGTTCATATTTTGACAAATATCGATAACGTTATTTTTTTCGGAGTTTTCATGTGGTATTTCAAAAACAGATGTAGTTATAGTAGGATTTTCCGAAGTAGATTCAACTGTATTTTTTAAAAAACTGTCTAATTTGGGCAGTTTAGCATCTTTCAATTTTTGTTCTATTTTTTTTTTGCGCTTTTGTGCTCCACTCATAGGTTTACTCATTTTAAAATATAAATTTTAAAAAAATAGAACAAATGAATACGCGTAAACGAACGATAACGAACAATAACGGCTACACGAAAATAAAATCGAAATATACGCGATTGTCATCGACTGACCGACCGACTACTACAAACTTTACGAACAAACTAACAAATAAAGATTTCAAATAATATCAAAACGATAAACGGATAACGTAATCGTAATGATTAATGACAGACGGTCGATTGATAGCCGGTCTATTAATAAATATATGTTAGGAATAAAACCCAACTTTTAACAGTAATGATAATGACTCATGAACATGACGTAAAACGTTAATATAATAATGTTCATACCCATACCGCAGCGAAAAAGGTCGTATCTAACAATTTTGAATTAATAAAAAAAAATGATTTGTTCAATACTATATTAATATATTATAATAGAAAAATATAGGTAGTTTTAAATTTTTATTAATAATTAATAGAAAATTTTTTTTTATTTCTTTGGGCCCCTATACGAACGGGCCCGGGTGCGACTGCGCCCTCTGATCCCTCTTAGTTACGCCACTGGTATTAGGCATTAGTATTAAACTATAGTTGGTTAAATTCATTTTTTCCCAAAAAAATTATATTTTAACATGCCATTGCGTATATATAAAATATAACAATAGACTCTAAAAATTTCATATACCAACAAATAATATTTATAAATTATAACAAAATAACTAAAATCGTTATTCTTGGATTAAATATGTAATTTTGTCCAAATTTGAATTTAAAATGTGTGTAAAAAATAAATGTGTTTATATAATTTTTAGATTTTTTGGTTACAGAATGAATTATTTAAGAGAATCTTTGTTTTAAATGTTCAACTCTTAGTTATAAAAACTGAACATTTTATAATTTTTTAATACCAATGATTGATAATTTTCGAGATTTTGACAAATTTTGTCAAAATTCGAACTTTAAATGCTTATAAAAAAAATCGTCCCTATGTATTTTAAAAATGTTTCAACTGATAATGTAACAATATATTAGGAGCATTCTATTAAATTTTCAAGAATTTTCAACCAATAAATAAAATTGTATTGATATTTATAGAAAAAAAAACTAAAAAGATTGGAAATTCAAAATGTCTGTAAACAACTCAAAATAGGTCCAAATATTTTGAAAATAGTATGGTATTTAGAAACTGCTTATATAAACATTCAGTCAAATTTTCATGTATCTAGTGTCATTTCTTTTAGAGTTACACCAAAAACCAAAATGTTGTCCAAAATCGGTTTTGCGTAAAAATTCTCGTTTTTCTTTAATTTTTCATTATTGTTTTTAATATGTTTAAGGATATACCAAAATAGAAAATTTGAACATTATAACCGAGAAATTATAGGATTCAAAAAAAAATTGGTCTGCAGGTTTTTTCACTGTCGAGGTTAGGTAGGTTATACTGGTTAGGTTTTAACATACGGATTTAAAAATTAAAAATTTCAAAGTTTGAATTATTGACCAGTTCATAATTTTATGAATTTTTAAATATTAAATTCCAAATCAATGCTGTCCAGATTTTTACGTTCCAGATTTGCATCGCCTAGAATTATATGAATTTTTAATTATTAATTTCCAGATAGGTACCGTAGATAATATTGTTATAAGTTATTACCTACTTAGTACTTATACTATATCACAAATATGATATACGACGCATCATAACGTAATTATTATGATCTAAGATTTTTTTTTTTTTATTGATAACAAATACCTCGGTGACTGGGGCCATTGGCTATAAGAAATTATATATTATTTATATTAAAGAGAGGTATTGTTACACTAAATATAAACTTAAACGTAATAATAAAAGTAGTACAAATGAATATAGAATCTAGAATCTGCATATAGAATTAACAGTAGAGTATATAATATATTTAAAGAAAATATTATTTTACACATTTTTTTTTTTTAATTTTTTGATAAAGTTCTGTATCCCTGAGGAATTTTAGAACATTAGTTATATTGATGTTAATTGTTAAGGACCTTAATTGAAATAACAATATCATTTTTTAATAGAATTTTTATATTTTTATAAATCAAGGAAATATACCTATCATTGTGTACCTACTGATTGAAGTATTCCTCAAAGCAATAAGAATAGGTTTTCAGTTCTAAAAATAAATACCTCTAAAATTCCAATATTGATCAATCATATATATTATTATTTTTAATTGGCATCGATGAGACGATAACAGAAACGTTGACTGTTGAGACGTCACAAACATGTTTTGTCCGTCTAAACTACACTGTTTTTTTATGTTTGATTATTATTAAACAAATATAATACATTATATAAATGTACAGTTCATATATTTTATACTTATGATTTTTTCCGTTCATTAGATGGGGCCCCATATAGTCATACACACAAGGGGGCCTTACTGGCTATGGCTAGTCGGTTATATTGGCCAGTCCGACCCTGGTTAAGGTTTTCAACAAGATGGTGAGTTAAATTATATTTTTGACGTTGTGTTCGTACTTTCTGCAATCGGGTGGGTCTTCTTTCTACATTAGGAAAGCATGAGTTAATCTGGTATGGCCTATTCTGAGCCAATTGATGGCTACTTCATTTTTCCTTGTGAGGGTATTGTTTGGCCAAGGGAGAATACGATTTTTAATTTCATTTAATCTAGTGTTAGATGATTTCCATTCGTCGATCTAAGATTATATAACCTAGGTATATAAGTATAAGTTTTGTTCAAATAGTGCGTAGCTAATTAGCCACTTAGATATCTACTAGCAAAATATTATGGGATACATAACCAAAACACATCGTTTTAACTTTTTACACTATGTGTATAACTAACCAATAAAAGTCTTGTAATGACTTAAGCTTTAAAAGACGTGATAAAAAATGAAAACTGAATAAACATTTAAAATGTAGGTACTGCAGGTTACATTTACCTAGTACCTACCAACACACCTAATTATAAATGTCAATATCTAAATCAACAAAAATAAACATGATTTCAGATTTGTAAAGTTGAATAGTATACATATAGTTAATACTTAGCAAGAAGTTTAAACAAATTAAACAAATTAATTTATTACTATTAATATAAAATATAAGTATTAGTATATATCATTATTCATTACCTTTGTTTGAACTTTCTGCGAAGTTAACTAAATGTTTAATTTTACTAATTCTCTTATTTTGTAATTTATAATAATTATACGTAGTTTGAGACGTAACCACATAGGATTTCGGTTCACAAGGGCATAGAAACATAATAATATTATACAATATTTCCGAATAATTTTTAATTTGTGCAGACTGCAAGAATTAATATTTATGTAAAATAACTATAGTTATATAAATTACATTTTTTTTTTTTACAATTAGTTATCATACAAATAATACTGGTGAACCTCTTTCTGCTGTTTAGTAGGTTTGAAGGCGCAATTTGGAGGGAACTTGGAGGGAATTAGCCCCTCTGAAAATTTGTATTTTAATTGAAGTATTAAATACTTCATTAATCATCTAATCTACTATAATACAGTAAAGTGTAAACGTTGTTTGAAGAAATTATTTTATAAAATTTAAACCACGATTCATTATAATATTCGCATGTTTTCCATAGAAGATAATACCTAAACCTAAGACATCGAATATCGGATCCACCTACAGAACGACATAACATAATAATATAGGTTAAATAATTGTATTACAAAATATTAGTAGTTACTAATTACTATACAGTATACATTAGTATAATAACATTTCAATTTGTCTAAGATATGGTCGATACTCGATAGGAACTCGATAGTAGGTACCTAGGTAGTGCTTTTTTTATACATTTGCACACTTATAACTTAAAACTTATAATTCAAAACATTAAACATTTAACAATATAATGATAAATCCTATTTTGTCACAAAAATAATACACAATTACTATTTTACATATCTCAAGATTTTAACGTAGGTACCCTTGTATTGTGGCTCACACAATAGTATCACATAGGATATTACTATATTAGTACCTAGCTATACATTGTACAATGTACGTAGTGCCATTTTATTTAGTAATTAGTTTCCGTTTTATAAATTGTATATTTAACCGCTTCACTTGTTTTTCAATCTTCTCGCTAATACCTATAACTGTCGAAACTAATTTAACAACCTTTAAATAAAAAAAAATATTAAAGCTCTAGTCGATTTAGCCATTGCGGTAATTACAGGACTCATCTAATAAAATAAATCAACGGTTTTATATCTTCTTTTTACCTTCTAAGCGACATGCTACTTTTGGAGACCGGCCCCATTGCGCATGTCAAGGTGTCGAAGATGGTTTTTGGTTAACTAGACAAGTCCAGTTTCCCTAAGGGTTGGGCGGGGAGTAGGTAATTACTGGCCTGCTTGATCCAGAGTCCTGACGCCACCACATGCAGAGATGCACAGGATTCGTGTAATAATTCATAATTTCTTACTTAGCTGCCTACTTGTTAGTTTTTACACACACATACAGGAATTTTTTTTGAAACACATAATTTATTAAATATTTATTTAATTAATTGTGAATTTAAATTAAAATAGATTTTATTCAACTTATATTATATTATATTGTATTATTGTATTTAAATACATACAAATAATGTATACAAATAAATCTATTCATAAAGTATTTAAGAACAATTAATACAAATAATTGGCATGTATTTAAATACTTTTGAAATACTTTTTTCATTTTACTTAATAAAAGTCGGGTTTTTGTATTGAATGTAAAAAAATTAACAATTCATTACGTCTTGTAAACAATTATTATTAGATCATTCAGCTCTTTTTTGTGATCGGGCCTTAAACTAAATAATAAAAGCTAAAAACAACACAGACACACTGCACACAACTGTGATACATTTCGGTACCTAGTTATTCTTGAATTGTTGGTGGATTATAATATTATATTATTGGTAGGTATTAATATTTTTAATATTTTAACAATATTATATTATTTTAAACAATCAATAGGTACGAAATACGTAGGTATGTAATATGAAATATACTCTGAAAATCCACCGCCCCTTAAATCACCTTAAACTTGCCACCCCGGGGCAATTGGGGACCTTGCCCCCGTTAAATGCGGCCCAGCCACTCAGGTTACTCACTAATATAGTAATATAATATATTATAAAAATAGATAAACGTATAAATATTATATAGGTAATAATATTGTTCAACTATATGTTTTTACTATGATGACTTATAATTGTTCGTAGGTGCCTACTGCCTACCACAATTATGAATTATGATAATATAATTTTCTACAATATTGTAATAATTAACATTAATTATATACTTTAAGGTTTTTAGATGGAATAAACAAAAATTATGACGATAAGCATTATTAATAACATTTTAACATATTTTTTTTTTTGGGGGGGGGGTTATTGAATTTTTTTAGGCGCCTTAGCCTCTAAACCCCTTCCTCATATTGGCGTATATGGGCATTATTATTAATATAATATGGATAATTCCAGAATTTAAACTTTCTGGGTTTTAATTTTCTGGAAAATTATGGTCTACGGTATCACTTTCTGTAAAACTACGTTCTGTGATTATAATTTCGGGCTTTAAACTTTATGGAATTTAATTTTCTGGAAAATTATGGTCTACGTTATCAATTTCTGTAAAACTACGTTCTGTGATTGTAGTTTCAGGTTTTCAACTTTCTGGGATTATATTTCTGGAACATATTTTACGTTCATTTTATTTTCGATATGAAATCAATTCTGGAACATTAATTTTCAATTATTTATTTTTCTGTAATTTTTTTTTCTGTAATTTTTATTTTCTGTCATTATATTTTTCTGTTAAATTTAATTTCTGGATTACTAACGTTCTGTTCATTTATTATCTGGGAAATTACGCGTGCCCGATATACCTATCTTAGTCCGTGGTTCAAACATTTTAAACCAGATTTTGCCGCATTACCTATTGTGAAGTGTGCAAAATTGGTTTGTGTTTGGTGTTAAACTGCATTTCTAGTGTATTCTACCCAGAATTCAACTATTAATTAACGTCTAACAAATCACATTTTTTGTGATTACAACAAGCATTTGTCTTTTTTATTTGACGATAGTCGTGAAAATATCAATTTCTTAAGTTATCTATTTTTTGTAACATGGCTCTAAACTACAGTTCTATCGATGATGTGGGTGCCTTCTCATTCCGGAATCTTGAAAGGTTTGTCCGTTTCATTATTAAATTAATAATATTGACATTATTATTCAATAAAATATATATATCATACTAGACAATTAATGTTAATTTTATTTTTCATAATTAATGTGATTTATGTATGCCATTTAATTCATTTTGACTACCTACTCTAGAATGTAAATAAACAAAAGACAAATTGTATACTTTGTCTTGAAGTTTTTGTATTTTAATGTATAAATTTAACTATTTAGTATTTATGTTTACCATACATGTTAATAATATGTTTAATAAATTGTGATTTCACATTTATTTTACATTGTGTACACCACTATTTTCCAAATGCATAATACAGTTTTGTTAAATTTTTTATGTTTAGAAATGCAAAACTTGAAAAAATGGGATTAAAAATGCCTAGTTTTCGAAAAACTGGTACTACAATTGTGGGAGTGACTGCTCGGGATTGTGTCATTTTGGCTGCAGACACACGTGCTACTTCAGATACTATAGTTATGGAAAAGAATTGTGAAAAAATCCATTACATTGGCAAATATATGCAGTGTGTTGACTTATAATAAATATTCCTTATATAAATACCTTTTAATAATATTAATACTGTTCTATTTCAGCTGCTGTGGTGCTGGTACAGCAGCAGACACTATGCAAGTTACACGTATGGTATCTGCCAATGTTTCCTTGCAAGCATTCAAGTTTCCGGAAGAAATGGTTCCCGTTGCGTTTGCTGCTAGGTCACTCCGTCAATATCTTTTCAAATACATGGTGATTTAGTTTATATTTTATGTTGTTTGTTCAATTCATTAATTTTTATATTTGATTAAGGGGTATGTTTCAGCCGCATTAATTTTGGGTGGTATTGATAACAGTGGTGCACATTTATATTCCATTTACCCTCATGGTTCAATCGATAAATTACCTTATATATCTATGGGATCAGGAAGTATGGCAGCTATTTCAGAACTTGAAAGTCGCTGGAATGAAAATCTAACTGTAAGAAAAATGTTTTAAATTTATTACTTAATATTTTAATTCCTTTAAATTCTTAACTAGGAAGAAGAAGGCATGAAACTAGCATGCGATGCTATTTTAGGTGGTGTATTTAACGATCTTGGATCTGGAAGTAACGTGGATCTGTGTATTATCAAAAAAGATGGAACTCGTATGCTCAGAAACTACCTGACACCTAATAAGAAGCCAGCTACGTAAGTTTTTATTTTCTTATACATACCTACTATATAATAGTCTTGCATACATAATGTTGTAAATCATATGTACATGTTTTATTTTAGTGCTAAATATGTCTATCCGACTGGTTTGACTAAAGTGTTACACAAAAGTGAAATCAAATTCGAAATTGCAGAAGAAACTGTCATGGAAGTTGATTCTTAATTTTTTTTTTTCAATTAAGATCCAAGAATGATTAATTATTTTTATACATTTTCTAATTTTCAACTAAAGTATTTTCTAATAACCTACTGGTGTCAACATTTATTTATGTAAAATACTGATGTAACAAAAAATATATTTAAAATTATTTTTTTTTGGAAATGTTAATATTGATACATTTTTAGACGTGTATTTAACCTCTTCATGCACGAAGTCAAGTAAATAAAGTAAGAAGCTGACTATACACCATTTTTCTGATAATTGGTCCCCTATTTTTTTTTTTATTATTATTACTTATTTATTATAAAGATCTACAATCTGTATACTATACAGTAACAATAAGTATAATTAGTCATTTGTCAATTTGATAGTAAAATGGTTAGTGACAAGATGTTGCAGGGGCGTCCCCGAGGGGTCACATTTCACACTAGGCCAAGCAAACAAATGGCTTAAATATGTAGCTATCATCTAAGATTAACCGATTTGGACACATGCCAGGAAATCCAATATTGGTTATTCAATGTTGTCAAAATATTGCCATATGCCGTCTATCGAGATTTAAAAATATCCACCTAGGACAAAATCAATAAATTTGTCATGAGAAAAACTAGACTTGCACATCAATGCAACTGCTAAACAACTCCCAAGACATTGGGTGCCTCAATTGCTTGAAGTAATACGACTTAGGATAAGGAACATGGCACCTCAGTGGAGCTATAAGCCCAAGCATGTTCGAAGATAATATATATTATTTATTGATTAACATAAACAGGATGTGTAACAGGAAGACCTGGCAAATTAAATAACTTTTATTCTAATCAATATTTTTAAATTGTTATCATTTAAAAACGCCTGTGTTATGCGTATTGTATAGCATTGAGCATTCTTCATTTAAATTTTTTATTACTAAATAATAAATATAAAAAATTTTAAATCTAAACTTGTTTTTGAAAAATTAAAATACTAAATTAGTTTATAAATCTAGTTGATAGAAAAATTTTGATTGTACAAATATTTAAGCCATAGTTTATTTTTTACAATTTTTTGAAACATCATAATTTTTTTTAAGTAAAGTTGATCCAGTTGTAACATTGAAAATTCAAAAAATATTCACTTTTTTAAATATTTTATGAGAATTTTTAAATAGGTACTTATTAAAATCTAAATATATTTTTGAAGTTATTACTTTTCAAATTAATGACACCTTAATAAAGTAGCTTACTTCAAAAAAATTAGACATTTTAAAAATCAAAAAATAAACCACATGACTTATGTAGATAAATGCTTTTACTTACAATCGAGATTTCTAAAAACCAGATTTGCAAATTAACTATTTTAAAATTATCAAAACATATTTAAATTTTTTTAACTTCAGTGTTAAAAATAATAATTAATGTAATATTATAAGCGCACAAGTAAATAAATTACATAGAAAAAAAAAATTAAAAAATATTGATTAGAATAAGTTATTTCTTTCTTCATTTGTCAGATCTTCCTGTTACTGGGTGCAATTTTATACACCCGTCATGTATTGAATATTGATATATTGTATTTATAAAAACCTCTTTTAAGGGCCTCAATGCGTTGTCTTCGTATTCAAACGTTTGACAATCGTACATTTTAAAATTGCCATTAGTTGCTTTAAAATTAAAATATAAAACAACCTGTTATTGACTAAATAATACTCTTACTTCAAATTTGGTAGTTATATTCACTTTAAAATTAAACATAATAGTTGAATGAATTATTCTGAACGTACAATTTGTAACCTATGTTATGCGATTATAAGACACAGACAACGCATATGTGTATGGCACCTTCTTAAATATATTCCTTAGGAAAGTTTAAAAAAAAAAAAAGTAAATAATTCAACTGCAATATAATATTAGTTAATTTGTATTTCAATTCAATATTTATTTAACAAATACCTATTTCTGAATGAGATTTGAAAAAATTAATTAAACTTGAAATAACATCTTTTAACCCAATAGTTTCAATGTTTGCATTAAAACTCACATATATTGGAATTGATGTTTTCAAACTTTTAGTTAGTGTGTTAGCTATTGATTCAGATCTACTATCAGGATCTGTGCTGAAAATGGCACTGGATATTGTATCCATGCTATTTCTTTGTGACATAGCAACAGATAAGCATGAAAACGTATTGTCTTGATTAATAACAACAAAAAAACAATTATCATAACACAATATTTGATTATATAACGTGACACCTAATACTTCTGATGTAAATGAAAACATTTTGGTTTTTGGTTTAACATACTCTATAGTGGCAATATCTATGTTTTTTTCAGGGATCTCCATTTCTCAACATAAACTGTAAAAAAAAAAAAAATCAAACAAATTTTACTAATAAGTAGGTATTACACTTTTAAGGATCAGACCTGATACTAGTCTGTAAACAACTTATGTAATTTACACAATTTTTCTTCTTAAAAGTCTCGCTTCTGATGTGACAAATAAAATAAGTTTGTAATATTCATAAATGTAATTATCAATTAATATAATTAATTTTCAACTGAAGATTGAATTGAAACAATATTACATTTATTTTCAAATGTTCAATGATACTTAAAGACTTGAAGTAGGTGAATCCAAAACTTGAAAAAAACTAGGTAGGATTGTAGGAATACACAACAATATGAAGTTAGAACGAAGTACTATCGGAACTAATAACTAAGAACCAGTTCGGAGTTTCGAATTCGAACTACAGTTTACAAACGCAAGTACAGTGCTGGTAGTGGCTTAGACTGCTTAGAGGGTAGTCGCAATCACGGTCTATGATATACAGGTCACAGGACTGGTCACTGGTAACGATAAGGCTGGAGGGTGGTAGAGGGCTGGATATCAAATGTTTTCAATAGGTACATGTGGAACACCTAGCGCCATCTAGTAGGCTTATAGCTCATCTACCATTACTTCTCTATAAATATATTGGCACAGAAAAATAAATTACATTGGTCTCATTGCATATTTTATATTCATTCCATTAGTAAATAGTAGAGTATTTAGACTTTAGAAATTTACTTACTACTTACTAGAGCGTCTAGATCTACTGCTTGATTTATTTAAATAGTTACGACTATTTTCTACATTTGTGTTGAAATTATAAAATTAAAATGCCTCGCCAGTGTTCAGTATTTTTATGTACCACTAAGGAACGGTCCAATGTTCAGTTGTTTAAAGTTCGAGAATCGTGGGAGGAAATTATTAATGAAGTAAATGGTAATCATAAACGTAAAGTGACATACGTCTGTATAGAACATTTTAGGAAAGAAGATTTGATTAACAGTTATAGTGGGTGTAATGACTTGGAAGTAAGAAAACATAATTACCTATTTGTATTTAGCCATTTAGGTAGGTACTATATTAGTACCTACTTGGTCATTATAAATTATAAATTATAACTCAATAATTCTATACACAGTTTAAAAGGAATTTAATTGGGCTAAAAATGGTGCTTTTCAATCAGTATTTAATTCACCATTTGATATTCACAAAACAAATGATTTGCCTGCAGAACCTCGAGAATCTTGTACACCTGTTACTGAGTCATTTAGGAAAGAATTGTTTGGTGAACCCAAGCCTAAGAGATTATGTCAAACACCAACATTAATAGTATGTTTGTGATTAATTGTCATAATAGACCATGTAGATTATTTAATTTATATATACAATATACCTACCTAACTTTATAGTTCATATGATTTATTAAAGGAATCAAAACTGTGGTATGAAAGTTTATTATTGCCAGTTGGTTGGTCATTATATCATGATGGATGTATTGTTGCATTGTATAAGCTGATTAAATTCATAGAATTTAATGAAGCTAAAATTGTTATTGAAAAACAAATTGTTTTTGAATCAAATAGTTTAAAAGTGAGCTATTATGTTAATCAAAAGCGTCGAAATCCTAAAAATTTGGGTCTACAACAATTAACATACCTACCCACTTGATACATTGCAAATTACTGAAACCCTTCAATTGTTTGAACAAAAAGAAATATGCCAAGGAGGTCCCAGTGTCATACATTTTTCAGGTATGAGTTTTAAATGCTAAATAAAACAGCTGTATATAGGTACCTACCTAAACCAATTTTTATTTAGGAATTCGGGTTAAGAATACTTATTTAGAGAATACAACCTGGCGCCATAATGAATGTTCTATTCTAACATCTAACAAGTTCAAAAAAAGATGTAAAAGGTGCAATTCATTGTTCCCTTATTTTAGAGAGTATAAAAAAAGATTATCTATAAGAACTAAAACATATTGTGGAACAACTCTCACTCCTACAAGACACGAAATAATTAAAGGGATGATAAAAAAATCGAAAAATGTTAAGAAATCCAACAAAAGGTAAAATTAATTTAAACTAATTACCTATTTATTTATTAAAATACTTTTTAATATTTTATTTTTCAAAGGTTTAAATTAAAAATTAACTAATTAAATTGTACATGGAGTGAACTACAAGATAAATCAAATCAAAATTAAATGATTTAGTTGAACATACAAACTTAAATAGTTCACAAAAAACAATAGTCCAAGAAATCGTAAATGCTAGTAAAGTCACCATTTTAAAAAATAGACGTTATTCAGAGAATTGGATTTTATTATGCATGTTGTTGAAAATAAGGTAAAAATATTCACTTAGACAAAGAGTGGTCAAAAATATTAATTATTAATTTTTTTCAGATCACCTTCCACTTATGGATTTTTAAGGGAACAATAGTAATTAGTAGGTATATCTTAGTCCGTGGTTTTGGGGTAGAAAAAAAAACTGTAATGGAATGTAATACCCAATGGTTTTGAACTCTTCGCCATTCTCTCAAGCCGACTGAACTCCGAAAGTTGAAATACAACAGTTTTTAGTGTGCATAAATCATTGTTTGATCATCAGTTTGCAGTAGGTATAATTAAATATATATATTTTTTCCAACGTAAAAGGTTTTATCAGTTATTTTATTATTGACTTTGAATTGTTGTATTGCTATTGAAGCGTAATATTTGATATTAGGAATGCCCGAATGCGTAAATAAAATTGTTTACAACAATATTATACAAATTAAAATTTACAGCGTAATATGTGTAACGACTAACGGCATAGGTATTTCAGTATAATGTGTAACATTATTTAATCTCGTTTTTAATGAAAATATTCTCTTTTCCTTTTGATAACGTAAAATATCTTAATCAGATTATTATTGTAAAAAAATAATTAATTTCACTATAAACGATTTTATTATTTAAAATGTATAGTCGTATAGATACGTATATACTATATTATAATATAATTAATTGCTTTAAAACATGTTTAATTGATACACAGTTGTTAAAATCGACTTTTATAATAATTATCTGAAAACACATATTTTTAATGAATGTCTTTTTTTTAAATTTGGTATAAAATATGTAATCTCGTATTGAATAAATAAAATATAAATGCTAACAAGTAAATTGTAATATATGTATTTATACATAGTATTTTTTTATCGGGGTATATTATGGGTTATAGTGTAAACATCATATTATTTAAATATTATCAAGACAAAAATTTTAAAATACCTAGGTACTCGAAGTGATATCGTGATGATTATTTTAATTTAATTTAATTTTTTTATCATATTTAATTTATATGATTGAGTGTATAGTCGTATGATGGATTTAATATTTAAAGTTCATAATACTTACTTAATATGGTTTACACGTTTTTATTTTTTCTATAAAATATAACATAATATTAAAGTTTAAACACTGTTTTTGGCATTTTATGTTTAACTAAAAGTTATTTTAAAATTCAAGGACGTGTTATAATCAATATTGATATGAGCAATAACTAATATTGATTTATATTCTATATTCGGATCTAACTTTAAAATATATATTTGCTACCTTTTTAGTATGTATAATGATGTACCTATTTCAGTGCAACATCTAATGTTATGCCTATGTTAATATATTAGTGTACACTGTACCTTCAACTGTCAAAACTTACATACCGTCAAAAAGTGATTTCCTATAGTACAAAAGATAGGTATCAAGTTTGGTTCGGATTAGGATATTACAACTCAAGTCAATAATTATGTAGAAAATATAAATTATATATTATATATAATTATATAGGTATATTAACACATACGTGGGGACTTAATGGTTCCAACCTAAACCGAAATGTTTTAAAACAATGTTATTTTTCGACATGCAGTATTATATTATTATTTTACCTATGTAGAATACAATTTTGAATTTTTTAAATATTATTTTGAAATAATAAATTTGTATCAACTATTTGAGTCAATTTGACTATATTAACGTTCAAGCGTTCTACACAAAACATATTATTATTTACAATTCTTGTATGGTATTTATATAACCGTCCATGTCATATCCGCCAGTGTACTAATACGTTATTTTATGATTTATTCCGCAGTAATTCGTCGCCTTTAGTACTTGATGGCTTGAATATTTCTTGAAACATATTATAATATCCGTGTAGCGTTTATACTGCAGGTCTACGGCCATTATACTCTGTATAAATCGACCAACGAGTTTTTTTATTTAAAATATATATTTTAACGTTTTTTAGTCGTTAAATCTGTAACAATTGATTATACACTCTACAAAACGAAAAAAATGAAACAATATTTTTTTGTTCACATCAAAAATGTTTATTATAACAAAAGGGCCGCAAATAAGAAAAAAAAATCGAAATTTATATGTGTGAACAATTTAACAATTTTGAATTTTGAATAACTTAAATTTAAAAAAAAAAATACGACGGACAGGATAGACACAATAAACAAGGGGGGAGGATGCGAAATGGCGATTGGTGCAGAAACGCAGTGTTGCTGGCCACTGGTCACCTCTGCACGTTCTCCGACCTGTCCCACGGGTTGACGAGTGTTGCTGGCGCGTTTGCTCGGACGCTTGACGACCTTGCCCAACCGGCGAGGCCAGACCGAGACGGCCACGGGAGCGACCACGGTTGACGGCGACGGACGGCGACTAGTGCGCGATGTCATGCGCGTCGACGGTCGACGGAGTGACGACTCGTGACGACGGACGGCGAAGACCAAGACGTGGAGCAAGCGAAATGAGATTCTGTGCTGCGGATCCGGTGGGGACGATTGAAGCGGCCGATTTGGGATTACCGCTGGGCGAAAAGGCGAGAGCCAGGGGACCACAGCGCGATCCTTGACTTTCGGTAATTTTCGCCCTGGCGTTGTCCCTTCGGCCGCCGAACGCCTCCAGACCCTGAAACGGTTAAGTTTCTGCGAGTCCGGCGCCGCTGACGTCCCCTTGTTCCTAGCACTCGAATCTCCGTACCACTCACCCCGTGCCGAGGTCTCCGCCGGTGCCGTCGTACCGAGTCGCCATCGCCGTCGTACCAAGTCGGTGCAGTACCATCGGGGCGGAATCGTTGCCCGCGCTGGTACGTCTACTAGCCGCCGTCCACCATCGCCGTCCACCGCCGCCATCGCATCACGTGACCGTAACTGCGGTCCGGCGCTCGCCGAGCCGCCAGAGGGTCTCGCGCGTCATCGACGACCGAGCGCGCGACGCCAGCGAACCCGTCGCGCCGCGGGTGCAGGTCGGAGAACGTGCGCGGGTGACTTACCGCCGCGCACCGTCCGTGCTCTTTCCCGCATCCTCCCCTCCATTCCGTCGCCGTCATCTCCTGTCCGTCGTCTTCGCCCAGGGGGGTCTTCTCCTGTGGCGGTCTCGATTTTTTCATCCGATACATCGTCTTCTGGACACAAAACATCCTCCACTTCTGCTTCAGAAACCTTCGAATTTCCGTCTTCTCTTACTGTGTCGTCGTCGTCGTCGCCGAGCGGTGCTGTCTCTGGGATCGGACCGAGCTCCGACTCTGCAGCAGACGACAGCGCGTCACCGCTCGGCACTCCGCCACAGTGCGGGGAGACGGTCTCCTCGACGTCTTCAGCCAACTCCTCTCCGTCCGCGCCTCCGAGAGTCGAGCCTTCGGGCTCCGACTCCAGGGTCTGAACGTCGCTGTAGTGGCGACCGTAACAATGGCAGACAGAAGTGGAGTGACTGCAAGAACGACAACGAGATATTCGTCGGTTTCATCGGCCAAAGCGAGTTCCATCTTGTTGACCAAAATTTCTTCCACCATTTCCAGTAATATTATGTTTTTGCGGCTCGGTCGATGTTGTTAAAGTTTGTTGCCATAATTTATTTTGTGAAAGAAGTTAATATTTGCGTATAGATTTAATCGAGAATGAGCTAAATACAAATTGTTCAACACATAGACCGATCTCCGAGAAAATTTCCCAGACGACGGCGTGTGTTACTAGCCAGCTAGTATTTTTATCGTTCTCGTCGGCCCGCAGCATTAGAATTTCAAGCTCGTTAATAATAACAATTTTATTTTATTTGCAAACAATTCCCAACATATTGTAAATTATAAATACAGTAGTAAGTCTGCTCACCTCCTATAAGCAAAAGCTTGGGTGAGAGGCTCTTAAATTAGACATTCAATTTAAATACAAATAATAACAATAAAGTACAATTAAGTACAATATGAGATTTACTTAATACAAAATAGAGCGTTAATTTTTCTAAAGACTATTATTATTTATATCCACCGACACGGTCGTGGCGCGAGCTAAGTAAAAAAAAAAATAATAACTGCACGAAGGTGTGTGTATAGTCAGGGGCGGACTGAGTTAATATTTCAGGCCGGGAATTTTTTTTTGCCAGGCCAAAAATTAATAGGGGACCAACGATTTGGTCATAAGTGTGCAAAAAAAAAAAAAAATAATAATAATGATAAAAAACCTTTATTATTTAAAAAATATTTTCAAAATTTTATGTAAGATATATGAAACTACACATAATATATAAGATATTTTTTTATAGATACAGTGTATACAATTTAATATAATAAAATTTATATTAAAATTAACTCTTAAAGTAATTCCTTTTTTTACATAATTAGGTTTTTTTTCATAACTTCACTAGTTTTCCCAATTCTGTCGATTAAAATATCGTCATCTATAGATACTAATGTTCGCTTTTCCACGGACATCAACATAAACGCTTCCAAATGCTCATTAGTTAGAGTATTTCGTAATCGATTTTTTATGAATTTTAGAGTTGAAAATGACCTCTCACATGCTACTTGTGTTACCGGTAGAGTTAAAAGATAATTATAAGCCAAAGATAAATTTGTATACGCATTACTATACAAATTGTATTTTACTAATAATTTTAAACAGCAACAAGCACAATTTTTGCATGTTTTACAGGTCATATTTAATACGGCAGTTTCTTCAGCTTCTTGATATTCATCTTCTGAATCGAAATTTTCAAAATCATATTCGTCTTCAACTGATTTTTTTAAGTTATCCCAATTATTACCAAAACTTAGTAATTCTTCTCTTAATTTTTGATGGAATTCTTTCAAATTATCATTGACTGTAAATCGGATTAAATTTTTAGAGAGAACTTTCAAGGCTGTTTTTGGTAAACCATGTTTAAAACTATTGAAGTTGACTGGGGATAGAAGTGATAAATCCATGTATAATGGACTATACTAGCTGATAATTGATATGGTAATACCTACCATATGCATTATGTTTATTATATTTTTATGCGTATTCGTATACTATATTTTTAATTTCTAAAATATTATCAGGCCATTTAATCTATTATTGTACCAGGCCACCGGGATTTGTCCCGGTGTCCCGCCAGGCCAGTCCGCCCCTGTGTATAGTATATCGAAGCAGGAGTTGCCTATTTAAACTGTGTAAAATACAGGTAAATTTGTTATACGACATAACTATTGTCTATTTTCTTATGCATCAATTAACTCCTAGTAAACTCCAAAACATCAGAAATATTGTGTATAACGTGCTTTTGTAAAAATCATAAAAATCTTAAATAGTACGTTTAGAAATGAAGTTATAAATGAAAAAGTGCGAACTTTTTAATGGAAATTTATATTAAATTCAGAATCACGGTAGCCGTCGTCGTCGTCGCATCAGCGTTGCCATTGTTACCAACAATATTACCGTTCTTATATAGATTATTGTGTAAATACTCAATATTTAATAATGATAAATATTAGTGATATCACAATTATAAAATGTTCAGTTTTTATAACAAAGAGTTGAAAATTTAAAACAAAGATTCTCTTAAATAATTCATACTGTAACCAAAAAATCTAAAAAATATATAAACACACTTATTTTTTACAGACATTTTAATTTGAAATTTAGACAAAATTTCATATTTAAACCAAGAATTACGATTTTAGTTATTTTGTTGTGATTGAATAATATTATTCGTGGGTACTTGAAACTTCTAAAGTGTACTATTATATATGGATCACTACCTTTTGTTCCACAATTTTTTGTTCCAAGTCAACTTATTCCAATGATATTAACTTCCAAATTTTACTTTTGTTCCTATATACATTTGTTCCAATACCTATTTGTCGAAAGACATTTGTTCCAATGAACATTTTTTCCATATAAATTTCATCCAATTATATCTTTTCACATTTACATTAATTGTTCCGATGAACGTTTGTTACATAATTTATTTGTTCCACAGGATTTATTATACAAAACATTTGGAACAAATATTCATTGGCACATAATGGTCTTGGAGTAAAGAATATTTAGAAAATAATTGCGTGGAAAAACATTTGAATTGCATTTTTTATTTATGCATAAACCTTACACTTTAAACTTATAAGTTATAAGCTGCTGAGGTATAACTGTTTAAGGTATTGATATGATATATTGTGTAGATTTGTGCTTACGGCTAGGTAATCTCAAGGAGGGCTTATTCATACAATCTATTCAGTATTTTAGGTACCTAGTACCTCCTCACTCCACAAAAAAAACAATTAAAACAACAGTGGTGTGCCCAGGAAATTCCAATGGAGGGAGGAGGTCATGAGTAATAATAATATATTTAAATGCAATGTGGGGGTAGTACCAAAGAAACAAATAAGGGGATTTATGGGTCAATGGAGAGGGCGAATGTAATGTTTTTGTATGCATAAAAAAGTCCAATTCAATTTTTAGTTGAATCTAGTCCGTATAATATATAATAAAAATTAATAATATAATGTGTAGGTGTATGGTCCACATAATATTATTATTTTGTATATAGGTCTAAAATAGAGATGATAATAATAATATAATAATATAAAAATCAAATTTTATTTAGCTTATTGCGAAAGCTCAAACACTTCGCATATTCATTCCGCTGGGTGTATAATTCCAGAATGGAATATAATAGAACACAATTTTACAGAACGCTATGATCCATAAAAAAATGTTGCATAAAATATTTTACCTGAAAATAGAAAGACCAGAACGTAGAACGCCAGAAAGATAGGGGCATATCACTCATACGGACGCATATAATGTTCCAGAAAAAAAACGGCCAGAATGTAGATTTGTCGAATGTTTATTTACAGAAAATAATATTACAGAATTGAAAAAAACCAGAATATAAAAAGCCCAGAAAATATTTGAACAGAAAATAATATGAACGAAAATAAATATTACAGAATGTAAACTGATAAGAATATATATCAGTAGAATGTAAACATACAGAAAATAATATTGCAGAAATTCTGCTGAGTGTATTATTCCAGAATGGAATATAACAGAACACAAATTTACAGAACGTTATGATGCATAACAAATGTTTGCATAAAATATTTTCCAAGGAAATATTTTAACTGAAAATTATATATTAGAAAATATATTTCCAGAAGTATACCTATTAACATATTTTATTTGTTAATTAAAATGCGTGGGTACAAAATATAATTTTTTTACGTATTTCTGTTTTTAAATTAATGTCAGCTGCTAATATAGTTATAGTAACTAGTACACAGATACTAAAAAATAATTATTCTAAAAAAAAAAACAATTAGGGAAAAAATATCAACGATAAAATAAGAAAAAAGTTATTCTAAAAAACTACAGTTATAATTATATTTTGTGTGTAATATAATTGTATATAGGTACCTAACCAGGCTAACCATTTTTTATACCATTCATAATTATATTTATCAACTCATACCTAATTATAATTTAATATTTATTATTTTGAGGTATCTCCTAATTTATTACTAGTGTTAATATAATATTTTACATTTTTGAAAGACAAAAAAACATGTTACAATTAAAGTACTAAACCATTCATAATTAATAATAATAACAACTTCTGAAAAACTCCGCCAACACAAAAATCTAATAAACATTAAATCAAAATATTGTCAATGGAATAATAATTATAAGTTCCAACAGTCATTTTTTTCAATGTAAAATAGTTAAAGACATGCTCATTCTTTTAAAAACTAAACATAATATTTAAAAATAAAAATAAAAAGTAGTCATCATAGTCGATGCTTAAGAATAAGTAGGTATTGTTTAAGCTCAGGCACGTAGCCAGAAAATGTCTACTAGATGGGCCAATAATGTTTGGCCCTTTTATTATTTTTCATAATTTGTCTTTATGAAATTCTTGTAGGGTGTATGCAATACAAAGAATCTTGTTAATTTAAATAATTTACCTTTAGTTGGTACTTAATTGGTTAAAATTTTTTTTTTCACAACAAGTTATACCTATTACTCACCTATTTAAGAATTAAAAAAATATAAAGTAGGTAGGTACCTACCTGATAATAAAAAAAATAAATATAGAATTACCTTCATCTTCACTTATGGGATACATTTTTCATGCTATGAAAAATAAATCTACATACATATTTAAAATAATAAGCTGCTTCAATTGTTCAACTTCTATTAACAAAAATTAATTTATATTTGAATACTTATTTAAACCAAAAAATTTCACTCATCAGCCAAACTTAATTTTGTATTCTTAATTCTAACCAATATTAAAAAAAATATATAGTACATACCAACAAAATAAAGGTTTATATTGATTAATGTTTTTCAATAAAAAAAATGTTTCCAGATTTTCTAAATTGTCTATCCATTTTACATATTTTTTGATTTCTGTTATTAATGCCTGTTTAGGAGTCCAAATAACCAAATAACATAATTGACAATTTTTATAGTTGGCCTTGAATCTGGTCCCAATATGAATGTGTTTTATTTACAAATAATTAATTATTTTCCTCATATAAAATATAATCATGATTTTATGTAATTTCAACTTCAAGAACTGCATTCCTATACTTCCACGAACATTTAACTTCTAGAATATGACTTGAATTAACAAGTCCATCTGGTGTAGCACCTAATAATCCACTATTTTATAACAAAAGTCCAGTTGGTATTACATTTACATTTTGGTATTTTACTGGGGCCTTAATACCACAAACATCATTGGTATTACCCCATTGTACAGCATGCACACCTGTAATGTTATTATTATTTAAATAATGACTTTGGGAACTTATTTCTTTTACAAGCAGCTATCACTTTTCCAAAATTACTAGCTGTCAATCTATGTTGCCTATAATCACTATAATGAAACCATAAAAGATTTTTTTGCCGTCCTGTAGTGTCTTTAACCAACTGTAATATAGTACTGTCATTAATACGGAGTTTAGTGTATAACAACTTTTTTAGAGAAATAAAATATTTTAACTAAACTTCTAATTTCTGGATCAAGAACCATATTACAAATAGCCTCAACTAATATCACATTATTTTCAAATGGTTCTGTTTCAGGTTGTAACAACCAAGGAAAACCTACAGGTTCTGCTAAATAGTAAATTGGATGATTCCTCCTTAAAAATATTTATATCTGTTTCTGAAACAATGGTGTTTGGAAAATCATTACCTACTATCCATGTATTTGATTAATGATTTTAATTTCTGTAGACAAATTATTTTTTCTAACACTCAACAAACAAGGTTTATCAGTTGAACTTAGATTATAATGAGTCTCTAGAAGGCAAGAGCATCTAGAATATTTTGTAATACAATCATCATTCATTAAAATTTCAACCTTATATAGACTACCCATACTAGGTTTCCCTAGACTTTCCCTACAATTATACCTAGATTAGGATCCATTTGAAGTTTGAGTACAAATTCTGAATGTTCCATATTATTATCTAGTTTATAACAGTTGCTAGTTCTAAATAATAAACAGTACCTAAATAAGCAATAACTATATGCAAACTAAATATCTAAATTGAACTAAGTTATTGAACAGTTATTGAATTCGAAATTCGAATTCAGCTATGTTGTATACGCTTATTGTAAGTTGTAGTAATCACTGGTCCGAAGTAGGCAAGTAGCGCAAGTGCAGTACGAGTAGTAAGTTCTTTATAATAACACTTTCGTTGACTCGTCATCTTCTATCCCCGACAGCCGCTGTTGCAGAGCGCCTTGATCTTTATCCGCAGCCCTCTCAAATAATTTCACGGTATTAGTGTGATTAGTTCAAAAATTATAACGAATCAACCTATTATGAAACTTATCGTAAGATTTTAAGAACATTATCTGTGTTCATTATTTCGTATTATCGTGTTAACGATAATCCAATTTTTGGAAAGGATTGCGAATCAGGCCC